GTTTTCTTACCTATGAATCTATTAACCTTTAACCCAGTACAGCGGCAATTTCTTCCATTACAGTGTATGCTTCTGGAGGACAGTGGCAGTCTGCTATTCACTGTTGTTTTTCCAGCACCTTATATAGTGCTTGTTGTAGCGTAAGTGCCAGAAAATATTTAGTAAATGGTTATTGATGTATTACTCCTTTCTGTGTGCCAGTCTTGAATGATATTGCGTTCTTTACTTGAATGACTTTGGGAAAAGGGTTGCTTCAAAATATTCAGAAAAATTAGCTTATGTCAAAAGAATATTTTGAGAACTAGTGACATGTATATGCTGTGACTGAAAACAGTTGTTTTTAGATCAATGGAAAGAAATGATCACATTCTGCTATACACTTCCATACACGGCAGGGGATGAAGTAGATGTTTGCCCCCCCTGGGCTACGATCTGGAGTTCTCACCTCCCACATTAAGTTATTAAGGTACATCCTGTGCTACAATAGCTATTAAGTAGTCTAGTGTGTTCATATGCGGGAGATTATATATTATAATAAAATTACAATAAAAAGATACATCTTGCTTCTCATTAGAAGAATTGTGTATTGTCTTTTTCATTTTCCTCTTATCGGAGTTAAGCAAAGCAAATCATTTACTATATTTTTAAAGAAATGTTGCACAGACTATGCAGTATGTGCAATTTCTTATTAGTGTGGCTGTTGCTCTCCTAAATGCCTTGTATGTCACCAAAAATGAATTTTCTCATTAACCTCAAACATGCCAACTTGTCAAATTGTGATGAACCAAATAAGACCATTTCCAGAAATTGAACTACCATCATTATATTTGTGTGGCTTTGCCAATTAAGTCTATAAATAACACATTTTAAAACACATTTCAGATTTTTGCAAAACTAAACTGCTTTTGGACATTCTGAACTACAAGAATAGCAACAGATATTATCCAAAGAAAAGGGAAGAAAATGATTTGCTCTTATCAGAAAAAACAAAAATGTATTAAGGAGCAGGGATCAGATGATCGTATAGACATTAAACAAATATTTATTTGACATCTGATCTGTGTATAACATATTTAAGATATAATACATGCGACCTTCTAAACAACTCACTATGACTTTTCATTTGATACAAAAATAATATTTGGCAAATATTTATTAAACTCGTTTTGAACATTATGCAGGAATCTATCAGTGGAGTACAGAGATAAGAAAAATTGCTGTTTTGTTAGAGCTCAAACTTGGTAGAGAATCAAATATTTGGAAAAGGAATTAGGGGTAGGAGTGATGGTACTGATGTATACGCCAAGGCAAAATGGTGATGCTTAGATGCAAAAGGATAGATACAGGAATAGAAAGGATTCATACACTAAAAAATTACTTCATGCAATTCAGATGTTCAGGGCACCTAAAAAGAATGGATGTGACATAGGGGCTTAGTAACCTGGTCCTAGTTTGAACTGCAGTTTTTGAGTTTGCTGTAATGCATTAGAGGAGGCTCTGAAGGATGCACACAGAACTGACTGGCCAGGGTAGGTTGGGGGCAGGATTTGGTCTTTCCCTCTGTCATGGTGAATAATCCAATTTAGGCTCTGTCATGTACATCCTGTATGACAAAGGCAAACAGGTAGGAATTAATGCCTGCTGTCTTTCTCCTATGGACACTGTAAAGAAGAATCTAGTGACTCAGTTATTCCTACTGAAAGTGTCTCGCCTTCATACGCATGGGCTTTATAAACTATTATCAACCTCATTTATTTCTCATTCTTAGAAAATTTGGCTTTCCCAAGCAGATTTTATTTCCAGTGATATTTTTGTGATGTATGATATTTTAATGACTTCACTATGTCCAGATGTCTCACCCATTAATGGAGATCTGCAAAGAGTCAACAGTTAAAATAAGATTAATTTTGTAGCTTAGAAAACCATGAATGAATGAGTTTAGACCTGTAAGTATATGTAATTATAAGGAATCTGGCAGAGAGTAAACATCAGTGAAGGTGAGATGCTACTATAACAGCCACACCTACCTTTAATCCACTTTTATTTTAGTTTAGTGCATGGTGAGAGATATAGGTCTAGTTTTAATCTTTAGCAAGTTGAAATCAACCAATGGCAAATGCTGGTGAGGATGTGGGGCAAGAGGTACCCTGATCCCCTGCTGGTGGGATTGTAGACTGGTGCAACCACTGTGGAAATCAGTGTGGAGATACCTCAAAGAATTAGGATTGGAGGTCCCATTTGACCCAGCTATTCACCTGATGGGTATCTTCCCCAAAGAATTAAAACAATCATACCACAGTGATATATGTGCACACCTGTTCATAGCATAACAATTCACGATAGCTAAAACTTGGAAGCAGCCCAATTGCCCATCAACTGGAGAATGGATAAAGAAATGTGTTTCTTTAATGAAATGGAGTACTACTGAGCCAGAAAGAATGAGAATTAAAGACAGCTAAAAGGATGCACATTTAGGTGATACTCAAGTAAAATAAATAGGACATGTGCAAATACTGAATATTTTCTCTAGTGTGAGAAGCAGAAATTGTAAATAAGGACTAAAAGGTGTACTAAATTGAAATAGGAAGAAAAGGGACAAAGGGGAAGAGGAAGTAGGAGGGTTAGGGGAAAAGAAAGATGGGAATGGAATTAATATGAGAAAAAGAAAAAATGGAAACAAATTCTTTGTAGGTAGGAAGGGGTAGAGGGGTTGCAGGGAGGGCAGGGGAATGGGGAAAAAATAAGAACCAGGATGGATTATGCAAAGGTACAAATTTCCAACAATGAATGTCACTATATTGTATACTTTAAATGTACCAATAAAATTAATCAATTTTTAAAAATAAATGATACAACTTCTAGCCTCTTCATTGTTTTAATGGAAAGATTTCTCTTCCTATTTTGTTTTGGAGAAGGATAGGGTTAGGATGAAAATTGCAGGCCTGTAAGGAGGGAAGAAGTCATGTGCAGGCCAAGTCTCTGAAGGTAGACAGGCCCTTAGAGTCTGCTCCTAGGGATTTCATTGAAAAATGCCTCAGGCTTCCCTGACTACATAGAGGAGAGGAAAAAAGAAAAAACAAACAAACAAACAAACAAAACCAACTGGCATCTATGCACACTATGAGGACTACAGGTCCCCAAATACCAGGTTCCTGTTACTACTCTGCCAAAAAAATACCTGTTCCATATGCAGTTGACTTAGTTTTCCAAGATGAGGCTAAAACATCACTGATGTCTTCAAATAGTTATGAGAGTTAGGGGAGGCCTGCTGCTGAGTGGAATGGAGTCATGATGCCATTGTCTCATTCATTTGGGTGATATATGTTTTGTTTATTTTTTTCCAAGGTCTATGATCTTTATCAGAAGTTTATAAAATTCCGTCAAGTTTCTATTAAACACACACACAGCAGTTTCAAAATGATTACCAATGTTTTTTGTGCAATAATAATAGCTTGAAAATCTGTAAACATTTTTTCCAGTAAGGCTGTTAAACAAAAACATATATTTACTTTAATACAGATGATTAAGCAGATAAGAGTTGGTTATAGTTGTACCCTGTTTGAATTAAAGAATGCTGCATTATTTGAGTTTTTTCAATTTATTATTATTCACTATTGACAGAGAAAAAATTTTCCCCATGTGTTGCATTTTAACATTGTCTACATTTTTAAGAATGTTTCTGACATGTTAGTTGTTACATTTCTCTTTGTTATTTATTCATTCTAATTGTGATTGTACTAGCTATTAACTTGGCAACTACAGAGAGGTGAATTCACTTCCTTTTGTTAATGTTATAGAATGGGATATAACTTGAATTAAATGAGAAAATATTTGAGGATCGTACAATTTTATTTTCCTTCATTGTAATCTAATATAAATATATTGAATACCTATTTGCTAGACACTCTCTGTAAGCTATTTATTTGTTCTTCTCTCAGATATGAAGTCATACATATGAGAAATCTGAAACTCAATGGGTTAATAGTCTTGCTCAATTTTCACAAGTAACAGAATTCAGATTCAGGTTACTATGATTCTAGAGCCCCTTTACCATCTTTAAGTATGCATCATGTTATTATGGGCTACTTATTTTGCATGTTCAAATATGATCTTTCAGTAGATTAAAACCCCTCCTTTTGGTCATGTTTCACATGCCACAAAATTAATGTTATACAGTAAATGTTAAAAAAAAAAGAGGCTGTAAAGACAGAAGAAAGAACATGCAGATGCTGTTGAAAATTGAGAAATGATCTGAAACAGAAAACGAAAAAAAAAAAAAGGTGTAAAAGGTAAAATGAACAGTTCACCCCCTAGGGAAATGCCTAGTACAATATAAATCCCAGTTGTGAATATTCTTCTCTCACTTCTTGGCTTATGATTTCAATAAGCTCCCTTCTCTTCTCCCTCACAACCCTCCCCCCAAATGCTTTAATTCTTGCACAAGTCTGTCTTTCCATCAGTAAGCCAGATACCTTAGGAGCTACATTTGCCGGCTCCCAAGTAACTGAGCTCCATCAGCATCAGAGCCTTGCTGTCCTGAGAACGGGGTTTGTGTTAGGACCTCCAGAAAAGAGTTTACAGACAATTTTGACTAGAATTAGGTTTCAGGGCTGGGGATTTAGCTCAGTAGCACCATGCCTGCCTCGCAAAAGCAAGTGAGTTTGATTGCTGGTACCAAAAGAATTAGGGTTCAGTTGATCATAATAATGATGAAAATGAAATAGTGACTATTTTCCAGGTATTCTATTAGCTTCCAGGATTTTGAAAATAGATTTTGAGATGGATGCCTTCCTCCAAGGTACAGCATTCAAAGAGATATTAACAATGGAAGATGCTGAGGGCAGTAATCACATTGCAACACAGAGACAGAAGTAGCTACATTAGGGAGAACAAAACAGTTCACAGATGATGTGATAATAGAAAATTCTAGAATGGCAACTAGTGTTTACACAGTAATAAAGCATAAAGTTGGGCAATTTAAGGAAAGGAAACAGGATGAACAAAGGCAGGGTGATAGGAACAAATCTCAACATGTTTGTTCCTGACATGAGCTGAATGTAGGAAACTGTAAGATACTTTTTGCTGAGATTTTTATCTTAAAAAAACAAATAAAGCAATCATAACAACAGCAAACTATAATTTTCAATTAGATATCATATAATCTTTATACTAAAATATCAATAAATCCTTCAAATAATAGCTTTCAAAGTTATTTATTGGTTGACTAGTCTACCAAAAACTTAGCTAATCAACGAATATTTACTGGTGAATAAAGTACACATAGTACCTATATTTAAAAAAAAAAGTTATTTCCTATAAGGGAGAAAGAAACATTAAATGATGACAAAAATCAAATATTAATATAAGGTTTCTCATATGATGTGATTTGATAATGTCTAATATAGTGAATGAAATGTTATCTTTCAACATTGTACTTATTTTAGGGATTGATAATAAAGACCAAAAGTAAATTTGACCCAGAAAAAGATGTATTCATAAAACACAGGATATAAAATAAAGATAGAGACTGTTGAGTATTTAATTTCAAAATGAAAAGCAAGCCTACTTTGGCAGCAGGTTTAAAGCTTTGTTTTTGACCAAAATCATAAACAGAATTAAGAATGTTAATGCTATTAATTTTTGTATTAGCCTAGAGACTTCATTAAAATGAGAGTCCAAAATTCTGGTGTCGTATTTCTACTCTGTTTTATGGATATGTGCAATATAATAACATTTTCTCTTAAGTCTTATGTTTTAAGGAGATAAATAAACTAAAATATTCACTATTTTAAATGGAGTCAGGACCTAAAAACTATGACTGTATAGTAATATTTAATTTTTTAAAAATTCATGTGTACTGAATATTTGTGTCCTCCCCTCTTCTAAATTCATAGACTGAAATCCTAACCAAGTTGATTATATCAGGAGGTAGGGCTTTTGTGAGGTAACCAGGCCATAAATGTAGAGCCCTCATAAAGGAGAGTAGTGCCCTTAAAAAAGAGACCCTGAGAGATTTTTCTCCCTGTTTGCCAGGTGAGGAACCAAGGAAGAAGATGGTCATCTATGAATCAGAAAGTGAGTCCCTACCAGACACCATATGGCTGTGCCTCCCCCACCTCTAGGGCTATGAGAAATAAGTTTTAGTTTAAGTCACGCTTTATAGGTATTTTTGTGTTAGCGCAACCTGAATATAGGATGACAGGTTTCAAATCTAGAAGTGGCACAGAATTATTGCAAAAGCTAGAACAGATGTACAGTGTACTGAATTTACCTTTTCCTAGTTACTTGCTATACCCCTGACCAATGTAACATCTCTAAGCCTTACTTTGCTAATCTTTATTAGAGATAAATATTCAATCTGTTTTATATAATTATTATGAAGATTAAAATCCATAACGTGAAATGTTCAGAATAATCCCCGTCATTTGATATACCCCAATAATTGTTGCCTAGTATTCCTGATGTCTGCCAATTCTGAAGACCCAGTATGCTTTCTAAATCTTGTAACTGTCACATTCTCTTGCTCTCATTTGGGCATCTTCTCTTCTCCCTCTCTAATCCTGTAATTATGGTAGAACCATCAAGCAAAACTTCCATACTCCAGACTGCAAGATTGGACATCTAACCAAAGCCTTTAAAATTCAACTATTCCAACACATTGGCCAGTGATTCAGGTCAAGTGAACCAGCAGGCCCATAGAATTCTTGATGTTTTGCATGCTCATCAGCTGGAGCATTCATTGTTCTCAGAGGATAGTCCTGTGGGTTCAGGGCTCTGGTGTCTATGCCTACCACCACTTGAGTGGGCTTGGGTAAATTAAGCCAACTCCTAAACATAAGTGAAGGTGGCAGATGGAAAGCCTGAGCATGGTTAAAAAAGCTCCAAACCCAATCTTTTCAAGCCCCACAGTTGCCCTGACTCCTGCAGTACTCCCTTCCTTTGAGGCAGTATCTCCAGGACTCTACCAGGAAATCTCTTGTGCTGCTTAAATTGATTGGGATTTTTTTTTCATTGCAATGAAAAGTGACTAAGACTATTACTGTTGTCATTGTGAACAATGGTGAGTAACCACGAAGAAGGGTACTTAGGACTAGTAATTTCACAGTGAATTTTTTGAATGCATGGAGTGAATATGTGAATTTTTCTGATTAGTGATTCTAAAGATGTTCCCTGAATTACTATGTGATTATGATGAATGCTATAAAGAAACTATATTCAGAATTGAATAAAACAGAGGGTCAAAAATCTATGAAAGGATGTAGCATGGAAAAAATGGGAGTTTCAAGTGCAGATGACTAAAATTCATCTCACATTTTTTCTACTTAAGCTTGAGCAGCTGTTGTTACTAGCTTCAATTTCCCTGAGATCAGTTGTTCCAACCATAAAATAAAGTAAGTATTCTCACACGTTAAGTACTAACATAAACATTTAGTATCCTTTTACCTTCCCCAACTCTTGAGATTTTAGGCTCTTTGATTATACAATTCTTTTCATAGTATAAATATACTTCACATGAAGCACAGCACTAGTGCTGCAAAGCCGCAGTGTTTAAAACAATGAAGTTATTTCAAAAGACTGCATGCTAAGCTCCAATCATACTTTTGTTTCTTTCAAAAGTCCCTAGAGAAAATTTAATTTGATGTGTCATATTTTAAAAGTTTATTCCAAATACTCTAACTGCGTTCTGTGAATAGACTGCGATTTCAAGTGTGCACACTCTTTCAGCAAAACAGTAATAACTAGCTTGGCACCCTTTAATTACTGACTGACCAATGGCCTTTTCTGTTAATGACTCATTGCCCCATGAGTCATTCTTATTCCAATTTTCAAATGTATTCTGGTGACAACAGTTTTCCTTTGCATATTTTAATATCTCTAAATGAAAGCTTTAGCGCTGCCAGTAATCAAAATAGTAGGGGGTGGATCCAGAATGACTGCAGCCTTTGCCTCCTTTTGAGTGCTTATCTTTCCTGATAATCTAGGGTATTATTTCCCATAGACAGCATCGTGTTTCTGAGACATATTAGAAACTGTCTTTAACAATCATTTTCCATTACCAAGGGAGTTTGGGATAATGAAATGTGTAGTCACTTTCAATTTATGTCAAATTTTCTGATGCATTTGTACCACCAACATTTTATCAGCTTGTCAGTGGAACAAATGAAGTTGCAAACTGCATCGACTTTTTTTCATGAAATCTTTGAAACTGTTTATTTTTAATATGACTGCTCTTCTCTCCTTTTTATTTCTGTAGTATAGCAGGCTTGATTTTCCACTTTCAGTTTTGTTTTGGTTTTTTTTTTTCTTACTGAGCATGGCAGTTAGGCATAACAATCAGGCCTTGAAGGTTTTGAACGAAAGGATTCATGCTTACAGGGCATATTAAAGCTGAATGCAGATTGAAGCAATAAGCACGAAGCAATTTGATGAACTACCTGTAGGCAGGGGTGCAAAATTTCTGACACTCCAGGAAAGCTATTATGTGCCTGTTATGTTCAATAGCCTGGTTGGCCTAAAAGGTTACAAGTGATGTATGTTTTCATTATCTCCTATGGGCCTGATGCTGCAGAAGACCCCAGATGACTTATTCTGGCTGCAATTCTCTTCATTTGCAGTATGGCAAGGTCTGTCAGACCAAGCCAATATGTCTGTGAGGGTCAGTTTGCTTTGAGGGATATTGTTCCGTGATCTCTGTAATATTCTTCTGCCTGAAAATCTGCAAGGAGTTACCACCTGGAGAGTAACTGAACACTTCAAAAACACATTTTCGATTTCCTAGGTATCTGTTATCACTGTGAAAGCAATAACAACAGCACAAAATCTTCAACAAAATTAGTTGTCCTTTGCTGAACATATATTATGTACCGAGCTTGCCTTAACATACATTATTTCATATTTTCTTTATCATATCCTAGCAAGCCACATACCATGATTCCTATATTTTACCTTTAAAAGGAAACGGTAAGAAATTAACAAATTTATCCTAAGCCAGATTCCTAGTATATATGGAAGACACGGTAAAGCCCAGGTCTGGCCGATTTTAGGAAAATACTAGTAACTGTAAATCATCTTTAGTTCAACATGGAGAAAAACAGGGTCTAGTTGATAAAAAAAATAAGGCCATAATATATTAATAATTTTCATTAAAGTATTTATATATTTAAAAGGCACAAGAAGCACCGTACTCAGTACTATCTCTGAAGAAATAATTAAATATACAAATGGGGGGACAGAATATCTACAGAGAAGAGGTAACCTGGGAAAGGAAGTACAACATTATAACTCATGGACGAGTTTAAGCAAAGCTCAGCCTGATCCTTCAAAGAGCACAGTGTTCTGAGGCAATAGTAAAATAATCAAGGTGAGGGGCCGAAGAAAAGAGGCACTCCGACCCCCAAGCCTGTGTGCATAAGCTTAAGAAAAAAAGTGAAGGTGTAGAAATACCAGGCTGCTTTTGGTCAGAAGAAGATGAATCAAGGGAGTTAGGGAGGGAGAAAGGACTTTTACAGCTTCATTTATAATTAAGTATCCAGGACATGAAGCTATAGTGAATTTATGAGAGTTATTTTTTAAACTGAGTTTATTGATAGTTTTTAAGTATACAGTACAGTTACATGCATCATTGGGATCTTGGACCTTTACATGACAGGTCTTGGTTCTCATTTTTTCCCCATTCCCCTGTCCTCCCTTTATCCCCCTACATCCTCTCCTATTTTCAAAGACTTTATTTCCATTTTTTACTTTTCTCAAATTTTTCTTTTCCCTTATTTTCTTTCCCCTACCCTTCCCACTTCCCCTACTCCTTTAGCCCCTTTCTTCCTATTTCACATTATCAGTTATACAACTTGTTTTTGAAAATTAAACTGATGATTATACCTGTCTTACATAACACCTGGGGCTATTATAACTTTGACAATCATTGTAGAGATGACAGCAGTTGTTAGGACATGCAACTTGACTGTCCTACTTGTGAGCAACTCCTGTTGTTTTGAAATGTTAAGAATTTTTTCCAAAAATGGATAAATTAAAAGATAAAAAGCTATATTTATGTTATTGTTTTTTTCTTATTTTTCTAGCATTTCTTCATATCATCATTCATGAAATATTCCATGTGCTGTAGAAATGAGGCAAAGGAGACCCCTGTATCTGATTCAGAATATTTAAATAAAAGCCCTCTCCAGAGGTGAAGTAATAAAGTCAATTGTCTGAGTTCTCCAATGCAAATATCGTGGTAATTAATAAGTAGTTAGAATATCCTTAACCCTGATTCAATAACTAATTTGGTGTTCTTTTGTGAAAGCAAGGGTTCCTTCATTCAAAATAACCTACCATGATCTATGTTAAAAGGGTGATCTATTGCCATGGATTTTATCCCATCATTTTTTCGTGAAATGCTATGCATTTGTTTTAGAATGATGATTGCACTTTCATTATCTAAGCTATCGTTTTGCTTTGTCAATTCGCACATTCTAAAAACAGAGATTCTTCTGAAATGCTGATAAGGGTGATTCACTAACTCATGCCCTTTATAAACCTCAGAGGATCCTTAGTACTTGGTTTAGCATGCAGAGGACTTATATAAGGAGGCAAATAAATTTGGGAAAAATATATAAAAATATACATATATATATATTTATTTATTTGGGAAAAGAATATACGTGAGGCATGCCAGGGTCTACCCACTCAAGGCTTGTGATTATTTAAGTCTCATTATTTGTTTAATCACAGAACAATCAATACACACCCCCTTTGATTTCATTAAACAGCTTTATTGAGGTATAATTGACACAAGATAAACAGCACATGTTTAAAGTATGTGATTTGTTAGCTTTGACAAATGTACATATTCATGAAAATGTGACCATGTTGGAGAAAATTAACACATCCAATCTCCACAAATATTCCATTTCCCTTTGTATTATCCTCTTCCCATCTCCTCTCTGCAATTCCTAGTTTATGTATGGCATATATTTCTGTTTTCCATACTTCTTTATGCATGGAATTATATATTATGTTACATTACATTATATATTATGTTGTCTGACTTATTTTACTCTGCATAATTATCTGTAGATAATTGTCTAATTCAGCATGCAATCATGTATTTCTTTTTATTTCTGTAGGATAGTGCATTATTTGAGCTTATGACCTTCTTACTGGTAAACTTAAGTCCCTTACTTTTTAATTACCTTTTAAAACCTTTCTTTCACATTCCTGACATTAATAAGTCCTTTCTAAAAAATTATTCATTCCTAAATTCCCCACTGTCTCAAGAAAAGAAAAGAAAGCACCCTGGATATTTATGAACATCATGACAATACCATTCGTACTGTACACATGATGCGCAGCGAAGGTGTTGGGCCTGGGATTTAGCTCAGTGGTTCTGCTGCCTGCCTCACAAGTGCAAGGGCTGGAGTTCAATCCCCAGCACCAAAAAAAAAAAAAAAAAAAAAAAAAGTGTTGTGTTTTGAGTAGTATTATAAGCTGCACAAAACATCATTTAGGTACCATTTTTCTCTATATTTTATTATAATTATTTTACCAAGAAATGTATGCGTCATGAAGCTGTGATTTAAAGTAAACATGAATGTAATGGATCATGTAATTAATAGACATACTTTAGAGTCCACTGTGTCAGGCATAGGAATATGAGTAAGAGATCCAAAAGTAAGAAAGACATTCTTGTTCTCTCATGTTCCAGAGTGCATTTGTTATGGAGACAATGCCAAATTTAAACTTTGCTGTCCCTTAGATGTATGTGCCCTGCCAAAGCCCTGGACTTAGTGATGTGTTTATATGGTTTTCTATTTTATGTCATTTGTGAAACTGATATTATCTTGAATGTAATGGATCAGTACCTGTGTCCCTTTATACCCCAGCTTTCTTGTCACACATTTTTTCCGCCTGGGAAGACTGACTGGAGATATCAGAAAAAGTTTGGTAATCTAAGTAGAAGTTGGAGATTGAGTTTAGGGGGAGAGAGAGGAAATATGTACACAAATACATACATATGTATATCCATTTTGGGATTTAATTCTTATATACAAAGATACAGTTTGGATTTAGTGATATAGAAGCATGCAGTTGACAGTAACTTCTGTGCATATTAACTTAGACTAGCCACCACAGGATAGAAATGTTATCTACAAATCCAGCTATCCTCAATAAACTCACTGAGTTCCATAGTCAGAATGCTACTGATATGGGGTCCCATGAGACTTCTTTCTATGTCTTTGGAGTCCTGAAAAAAGCACTGGACATGATATATGAAAAAGGCAGCAAAGGTGTACATTTATTGAGAGAAAAAGCAATAGACTCTACAGAACGAGCATGGGCCAGTGAGAAGTCTCACAGTATGCTGAGCATGAAGGGAAAGAGGTCTTCAGTATCTAAAATTTCCAAGTTATCTTTCCTTCATTCCAATGAGACATTGGAACATCAGTACTATCAAAAATTCAATCAATATAATTACAATCAACATTTTTAATTGATTGTGCCAACAAGAAAATGAAGAATTGAAAATAGCATGTTTTGACTGGCCGTGAGAATACAACTAGATTCAAATGAAGGAATGAACATAGCACTTTTCTGACTGGGCTTGCAAACAGCACTGGAATCAAATGAAAAAGTGAGAATATTGCTTTCTAGCTGTGTATAAAGCTCACAGAATATTACATTATTTGGGGTTCTTGGTTTCGCACATGAACTCTTTTTAGAAGACATTTTGCTGAACCTGTCATCCATGGGATTTTAGTACCTTTGACACATTGTTCCCAGTTGGTTGCCTGGCTTACCGGAGCCCTAATTTCCTACCTCAAAAGAATCAAGTACAAAAAGTAGTACACACTGTAATTCTGACCATTGGTGCTTGACCCTGGAACAACATGGATGCTGGAGGGAAAACTAGGTTTGAAATAGTCAGGCCCTATAATTTGTGGAAATTTCAATTTTGTAGAAAAGTTTAAGAATAGAGAGGAATGTTAGAAAATTAAGTATTAACACTAAAATTTCATCTTACTGTTGTAGGGGGATATTTCTAATATTTGTCAACTTTTTAAATTTCTGCTTTCATTTGATTTCTAATTCTTTTTTTTTCTTTTTATTGAGTTTATTGGTACATTTTAGGTATACAGTACAATTACATTTATTATGGGGATCTTGTACCTTTACATGACAGGTCTTTGTTCTCATTTTTTACCCTTGTGCCTGCCCTCCCTTCACCCCCTCCTCCCTTCCCCATTTACAAACACTTTATTTCCATTTTTTCATTTTCTCATATTTTTTTCTTTTCCCTTATTCCCTTTCCCCTACCCTTCCCACTTTCCCTATGACTTTAGCCCTTTTCTACCTATTTCACATTGTTAATCATCTCATTAGGATCTTGTGCATTGTAATAGTTTTTCACACCAGAGAAACTATTCAGTATTTACACATGTGTGACTTATTTATTTCACTTAGGAGTATATCCTCAAAATGTATCCATTTTCCTATGAATGACTCTAACTTCTCATTCTTTATGGCTGAGTAGTATTCCATTTTATAGAAAAAAACACATCTTCTTTATCAAGTTTCCAACTGATGTGCAAATGGGCTGTTCCCAAGTTTTATCTATTACAAACTGTGCTGCTATAAACATAGGTGCACATATATCACTGTGATATGATTCTCTTGGAAAGATACCCAACAGGGTGATGGCTGGGTCAAATGGAACCTCTAGTCCCAACTCTTTGAGGTATCTCCGTATTGATTTCTATAGTGGTTGCACCAGTCTGCACTCCCACCAACAATGGAGAAGGGTTCCTTTCTCCCCCCAACCCCGTCAACACTTGTTATTGTGTGATTTCTTGATAGCAGCCATTCTTTGTGAGGTGAGGTGGAATCTCAGTGTTGTTTTCATCTGCATGTCTCAAATGACCAGTGATGTGGAACATTTTTTCATATATTTACTTTCAGCTTTTACTTCTTTGAGAAATGTCTGTTCATTTCAGATGCCCAGTTTTGAATTGGGTCTTTATATCTGGGGGGGGGTTGTTTTGAGTTCTTTATATATTCAAGATAAATAGTCCTTTGTCTGAAGAACAGCTGGTAAAAACTTTTCCCCACATTGTAGGTTGTCTCTTAGTTCTGTTGATGGTTTCTTTTGCAGTGCAGAAGCTTTTTAATAAGATAGCAGTTGTTGATTCTTTGTTCTATTTCCCGTGTTACTGGGGATTTGTTCATAAAGTCTTTTCCTATGCCAATGTCTTCAAGAGTTCTGCCTAACTTATTTCCCAGAAGATTTATTGTCTCTTTTTTTAATATTTAGATCTTTAATCCAGTTGGATTTTAGTTTAGTGCATGGTGAAAGATAAGGATCTAGTTTTAACCTTTGGCAGGTTCAAATCCAGTTTTTCCAACACCATTTATTAACGAGGCTATCCTTCCTCCAGTGGGGATGGTCAGCTCCTTTGTCAAAGATGGAGTAGCTGAGTACATCTGGAGTTGCTTTTGTGTCTTCCAGTCTGTTCCACTGATCCTCAGGTCTGTTTCTTTGCCAGTACCATGCTGTTGTAATCACAGTGGCTTTGTAGTATAGTTTCAAATTGGGAATTGTTATACCTGCTGGCATGTGTCTGTTGCCTAGGATGGCTTTTGCTGTTCTAGGATTGTTATGGTTCCAAATGAATTTTTGGATTCTTTTTTCTAGTTCTGTGGAATATAGTGTTGGAATTTCGATTGGCATTGCATTGAATCTGTATATCAGTTTTGGTAGTATGGCTATTTTCACTATGTTGATTCTTCCTACCCAGAAGCAGGGGATAGCTTTCCATTTTCTTATATCCTCTTCTATCTCTTTTTTCAGAGTGCTATAATTTTCAGTGTAGAGGTCTTTTGCTTCTTTGGTAGGTTAATTCCTAGATACTTCTAGCAAACAGAATACAGAGGATCATCAAAAAGATCATACATCTTGACCAAGTTGAATTTATTCCAGGGATGGAAGGATGGTTCAACATACGTAAGTCAATAAATGTAATACACTATATTAACAAAGTCAAAAACAAAAACCAAATGATCCTCTTGAGAGATGCAGAAAAAGCATTTAACAAAATTCAACACCCATTCATGATAAAAACCCTGCAAAAAATTGCAATAGATTTTTCTGT